TGTCCTTCCCCCTGCCCTGTGGCTGGTTTCCAGCTCAGCACTCGTGGCACTGGGACACGGAAGAGGAACAGAGGCCTTGGCCTGGCCGGGGTTTTCTCCGGGAAAGCAGCTGCTTTATCTCAGGAAACCTCCCCTTTCCCTGGGACCATGTGGCTACAGGGGGCTGTTGCCTGGGGGTGCTTTGCCCTGCACCAGCTGCCCCCCTGCCCCAATACACGGACTCTTTGTACCCTCGTGTGGCTGCGACTTGTGCAGGGTAGGACATGGGGGCACCAGGTCCCCCCTGGGGCACAGATGTCTGCAAGGACTGAGCTGCAGAGGGACCCTGAGCTGCTGGGGCTGGAGGGGCTTCTGTGCCCCTCGCCATGATGGAGGGACCAGCGCTGGCTCTTGGTGACGTCTCCATCCGTGGCTGCAGGCTCTGGCGGGGGTGGGGTGCAGCCAGTCCCGCTCCTGGAGGAGCCTGTGAGCAGCTCGGAAAACCGCTCCCACCCCACGGCCTTCCTGCCGCCGGGGGCCTGGGGCTGTGCGGGGGCCACCATGGAGCGTGACAGGCCCCATGGCCCCTGCACCCGTCCAGGCCTGGCACATCACCAAGGGCCTGTGTCAGCCCCAGGGACATCCAGGGGACCCTGGCTCTTGCAGGGCTTCACTTGCTGCCTCAGTTTCCCCTCCAGCTCATGCCAGGACTGCAGCCACCTTTGCACTGTCTATGCAGGTGCCCCAGGGCAGCCCTGTGGTGCCATGTGGCTCTGTGCCCACAGGCCTGGCACTGGCCTTGCTGCCCAGCAGGGTCCCAGAGGGGAGAGCCCGGGATCCCGAACAGCTGCAGATGCCGGGGGGGTTCTGGACTGCAGGGGCGGGGGGGGGTGTGTGGGTGTGCGGTGGGCTTGCATGTGCATGTGTGTGTAGGAGGTGCATGCTGCATGCACCTAAACATGCGTCCCAGGGCAGTGAGCGTGAGCATGCAGGCAAGTGGGCAAGTGAGTGCCATGGGGCAGGGTGTGCAGCGGGTGCGTGTGTGGGCCACGTGCTGCTGGGGGTGTGCGTGGGGCCAGGCCCACTCTGCACCACGCTCCTGCCTTGTCCCTGTGCCAGTGTGACTCTTCGCTTGGACATTTATGGTATGGGATGGAGCCAGGCGCGCGGCAGGGCACTCGTTGCCAGCGCGGGGCACCCTGGTCATGGGACGTCCCTGCAGCAGGTGCCATCCGCCACGGTGCTATTTTTAGCCAGGAGCCAAGGCTGCGGCGCTGGCAGGAGGCTGCAGCGAACATGGGCCGGGCACCGCGCGCCCAGACAGGGCTGGCATTGTGTGCAGCTGCCCACCCTGTCATTACCAGCAAATATGGGCCTGCGCTGTGGCAATGCAGGCAGCTGCTGTGTCCCCCTCCCCATCCTGGTGCCCTGAATTGCCACCTGAATTGTCACCGAGGAGCTGTGAGGGGTTCCCCGGGCATTCGTGTCTCCTCCGGCTGCATCCGCTCTCCAGCCCC